AGAGCTGCCAAGGTTTTCAAGCTAATTGCAGGCATGTATTCCTGTTGCATCAAACTTATTAGTTATTGGCTATTCCATTAATTTCTTCTTCTTCTGGAGATGAATCATGTTTTCAGTGTATTATATATCCCAGGAACATTGTGATGCTACCTATTTGGAAAGGCTTATATAAAAAATCCTACAGTAGAGCATCCTGCTGATCAGTTCACAATTTTTTTTTTCTTTGTTTTTTTGTTTTCCTCCCAGTTATTTTTGATGTGAGGATGTTGCTTTATGAACTACACAAAAAAGAAAACAGATGTAAACTACTTTTAGAATACAACTATAACCACCGCTGCGTTTTATGCTTCATCATCTTTGCCATTTTTCTGCCCGATTCCTCTTCTGACACCCACTCTTAGCAGACATATGTCTACTTTCACTGCAGATCTCCACCTCTCATTTTCTGCAAGGCTTAATCATAGCAAATACTACTTCTCTGTGCACTCCAGTCCTCACTGAGACTCAAGTCCTTTTTTTATGTTCTACAATGGTGACACAATAATAAAACTCACTGTCAAGTGTGGAAAGATGCACAAAGTAAACTGCTCCACTGCCATCCAATGGTTCTAGCAAGATAAATCATGGGCAATGGATTTTCTGATGGCCGCCTTCTTAGGCTATCGGCAATATAGTTAAGAACATGATAAAAAGTGTTGTGAGCTTGACTGATACCAGATATCTTCTGTCAGATGGTGGTATTAAAAAAAGGCACTTCTGGTAAGAGAGAAGGGTTATTAAGCGTTGTAAGATAGCTCTAACAATTAAAGACCTCAAAAAGCAAAATAAGAAGAAGGGGTGATCATCCATAGGTTTCTTTTACAGGATTTATTAAAAAGAAATAAAAAATTGAGGGCCACTGTCTTGTGAATATTCTGCTGATTTTGCTGAATGCTGGTTTTATGGCACAGGCAAGTATCTTTAATCAACAGGACAAAAGCACTGAGTGTGTTTTATTTAAGACAATCCCCCTAGAGAAAGAGGTTCCCCACAACACACTCACATGGTATCTAGCCTCCTCCTTACCTTTCAGCATGCCTCTCTTGCAACCTAAACTGTAGCGTGGGCATTAACAGCCAGATAACAAACAAATGTGCACAGTAGGATCTAAATGGTCACAGCAGAAAAGATCCAGAATCTGGGTCTAGTCTAGTCTAGTTCTAGTGAGAGGAAACATCTCAACAGTGCACAGTGTGGCACAACTCGGAGCTGCATGTCGTGGGAACTGGCGCTCTACCAGAGCAATCGTTTTGCAGGGATGTGTGCTAAGAGGTAATGAGTCACATGCACGATACTTTTCAATGATAAACAGCGTGACAACTCCCCAAGCTCTGTTCTAAGAAAGTTTTCCATCTAGGGTATTGTTCACTGCCTCCTGAGCCAACCTGTTCCTGCACCTCACCTGCTGAATAGCAGGCAGCCCTTGCAGGTACAACTAGAGGTGTCCCTGTGGGGTCTGGTTTCAGGCATGTAGGTAGGACCAAGGGAGTTTATTTTGACAGTATTCTTCCTCAAGTAGCGGACAAAAGAATTATTGACCAGTGATGCAGCTGCAGGCAGGAAAAAGTCCAATAAATGCTACAAAAGAACGGATTTGTACACAATCTGTCTCAGTTTTATTACTGTTAGACAGCAAAATCTTCATTTAGATTTCAGGCAGTCCTTCATGAAGAGGACTAAAATTCTGTCAAAATGGAAAAGCTGTGTGAATTTGAGGTGTTATCTTTGGAGCTTTTCTTGGTAAGGCTTTGGGGGCGGGGCAGGAGGGGAATAAAGAGAGAGGTCCCAGCTATGTCAAAGTGCCCTCTTCAGAATTCCTGTGTGATGTGTGCCAAGGCAAAGTTGAGGTCATGTTTTCAAAAAATTTTATAAATCAAAGCTGTTTGGATTCAAACTTTTGATTCAAACCCATTTTCCCATTGAAAGCTTCTGTGGTTTTCGTACTGACAGATGAAAGAGAAAAGAAATACTTATTTCAATGCACTGTTAGTGTAGGATGCTCAGGGATTGTTGTGCATCAGCTGTGGTCTCTGAAAGGAAATGTGTGCTGCTGTGTACAGTGTGGAACAAGGACAGTTATGGGAAAATTGCTGGGCTTAAAGTACATGGAAGCTCAAATTCTGAGCTAGACGGAGAGGTCCTTCTAACAATAGTAGTGCAAGAGATGTCAGTGTGACCATGAAATAATGTGGCAGCACAACATCAGTACTTGAGAAGGAGATAGAGGAATTAATTTGTAGAGAGCAACATCAATGGAAATGTGCACTGGGAAAGTTCACAGCCTGATGCAAATAGGATCAATTTGTGCCATGTGGCTCCACTGAAAATCTGTGCCTGAGGACAGAATTTGGCCTCTCCTCAGTGCTCCTTGGCTGGCTGTGGTCTTCACTTGTTTCCAGGAACTAATAGCTACTGCATTTTCACAGCAGGTGGAAATGAGATTTAACTGTGGCTTCTTGGGGGGGAGGGGAAGGAGAAAAATAAAAGGAAGAAAGTTCAAGACCTTTGTTGTCTGTATGTGTTGTTTTGTTCTGTGCTTTAAACCCCTGCATTTTTAATTACAGATACCTAGTTGAGGAAATTAAGAAAAGAGAGGGATTCCAGCTGCTTTTGGAGGTGAGTGAAAATGGAACTGAATTGTTGTCGTTGGGGGGTGGTGTGGTGGTGTCTATTGTTCGATCTTGTTCTTTTTAGCAATTGCCAGTTTGTATTTGAAGTATAGAATAATTTTACATATTAGAGATACACAGATATGATTGAACAGACATGACAGGCTCCGTATTCCCTACCCTCACTCTGTTTATTTTCCTAGCTTCTGGGCCTGTATTGCCTCAGGAGGTATAGATGGAGTACTTTTCTCTGAAAGCAAAGAGCCCGGCTGCGAAAATGCAGTGCTTGCCAGACTTAACAGATAAGACTGTGTGCTGGATGGAAGAATATTTTGATCCTAAAAATGGAATTTTTATCATTAAAGTCCATGTTTTCTCCTTAATTCTGTTTCTGCTCCTATCTTCCTAAAAACTACCCAAAAGTTAGGGTTTTCACTCATCTTTGCTAAACCAGTCAGCTTATTACCCGTCTGTAATATTGCCTGGGGAAGAGTGAGTAAGGAGGGCAGAACAAAAATGCTGTTTTTCCACGTATCGTCAGCATTTTGGTTAACAAGGTTAATATCTGGGAATGTTGCAAAGACCAATCATTTACAGAAAAACCTTCTGCACTGTTGGAAGTGTATGTGTGTGAAAGCTGGGGATGTAGCATGGGGAGGAAGAGAGCACATGGAGGAGGAAGGGAAAATGAGTAAGTGCCACACACAGAGACAGACAAACCGTAACGACAGAGATTTGATTTACACTTGCTGATGCCAAGAGCGTTCCAGGTTGGGCTAGGAGAAATACAAAATATAAAAAATATTTTATACTGCTCATACAATATAAACTTTTCCGTTTAACTCAGAAAACTGCTAATTTGAAAGTACATAGTGGGAAACTTTCCGTGGAGTGAAGAATTTTGGGCCAGGAGCACATGATGGGATTACTAAAGTAGCAAGTCTGTTTAAAAGCTCTCAATTTTCTGCCATTGTATTGCTTAGCAGAGAGCCCAGATCTACTGTAGATGTGAAAGCTGTTGGTGGGAGCAGAGGCTGCTCTTTATTTGCTGCAGGAACAGGACACTTGGATTAAAAGTGGGATTGGAGGGAGTGCTTTAGTATGGGCTATGAGAAGGAAGTTGAGCAAGGGTTAAGAAAAGTTTTCAGGAGGGGGGGACAACAGGTAGTGAGAATTCAAAGACAGACTGCTGGGGGGCTTCTAGGCCCAGTTATGTGAGCCCTTTCTTAGTAGAAATTGGACTTCGGGCAAGAAACTCAGGAAGATGATCCTCTGATACATGCAGTGAGGAAAGTCCAGTAATGAGAACCACTCTATGGCCTGGAAATACTACTTGCACTTGCATCATCTTGAACTCTCCTGTGGCATAATTGCGTACCTGCTTGGATAAGAGCTGTGACAAGATAACCAGAAATAGAGTGAAGCATGTCTGTGGGTAGTTAAGTTTTTCTAGGATGAATGATATATTCATAGGGGATAGTATATTTGATGTGTGAAAGAAAACTGAGATAATAGAAAAGGTAATATAGGCAATGGCAATATGATAATATATGCCATCTGTCTACTCCTGCCATCTGATTTTAAACAGTTTTAAAATAAACCCTGTAACAGCAAACTAGTGCTTGTGCTCATGAGGAGGCTGCTGCCTTTTCAGGGTCTGTGTTTATGTGTGTACTCAATGCTTCTCTTTGGGGGAAAGAAATGGGACTTAAAAAGCTGAGTTTTATTTCATTCAGTGGCAGCACGTGGCAGGTTTGCAGCTCTGTTC